GCCTTCTATTGATGAATGGGGGGGGGCGTTTGGGGGGTTAATTACGGCAATCCAATGATCCAAAAGCTTGAATAGAAATAATGATTGTTAACATAGCTTCCGATAAAGCACAATTATGACCTAAACATTTCAGTTTTATAGACTCTATTGATCCCTTGATCGCCTCCTCTCCGGCCCATTCTCTCCCCATTCCTCTTCCCAATACTCCCCGCCACTGTCCTCCCTCCCGCTACTCTGCTTTATATTCGTGGGTAGCGAGATTGCTTTCTTGTTGCAATTGCGGACATAGTACGATTTCGAGAGGGTGACTGTTATCTAGAAAGGCATCACACAGCATTCTTTTTAGGGTTTACCTTATCCTTTATTTTTATTATTTTTTCAAATCCAAAGGAAGGGGCCGGGGGTGGGGGAGTAGGGAAGGGATGGCTGCTCACACGAATCTGTTCTTGCTTTGCTGATACAGTGCTCGTCAATAAATTAACGTGAGTTTGATCGTCAGGCCTGCCATCATCAGTGAGTGGATTTTTATTTCTTTTTTCTCTTTTGCGCTTAMAGAATATAGCAATTCTTCTAAGTTCAATTGTCTGTCAGTGTAATAACAGKGGTGATACCAGCCACCAAGATCTTCATATCATTTCTAATGCTGCTTGCTTGATTGCAGCTGATGGTAATGTATCCTTCACAGGAAGTGGAGGTTAAGATGGTGCCTCGTTGTCAACCATAAGTTAGCCCTCTTGCGATAAATTTTCATTACAAATTTCTTATCATTGTAGTGTACGTGATGTATAGTACGAGATATCTCGGGTATATTTAGTGATCAGATGRATAATAAAATATAAATAGATTGTATTTTAGTGGGTAAAACAAAACTCTAGTCCGGATTCGTAACAAAATTACACTTTTAAACCTTAGACTTAATTTTGGGATGGGTAAGTTTGTTTCCATATCAAATTCGATGACTTAAAAATCAAGATAGAGTATAACAAAAGAGTTGATGTTCGCGGGCGTAAAGAAGAGTCTCGGGCTAAAATGAGCCGCTGCAAGGGCCCAAAACACATTTACCCCCAAGAACATCCAATCTAACACTATTATAAAAACTGAATTGGGCTTTAACAAAAGGAATAAAAGGCAATATCTTTTTTTGTTGTTGTTGAAAAAACCGATTTTACTCGGTGTTTATTTATATCCTATAACATCAAAATTACATTTTGAGTAGCTTATACAGATGTAGCATTAGTGATCCCGAGGGGGAAGGGGTGGGCTATGGTAGTACGAAATATCCCGGATGCTAACAACAAGTTGTTGGAATGTCACATTAGAGATGAAGGAAAACATGCGATCCCTAGGGGACCCCCCGTTTAATTTCTTCAATCTTTGTAAGGAGTTTATAAATATTAGGTTATGTAACACTGTCATTGAAGAACTGTTGGAGTCACATTATCAATATCCAAATTGACTGAGTAGCTTGATTGTGAGATCTAAGCCGAATGAACGATGAAACGACAATAAGCCAAGGCCTGACGGCATCTTTTAGAGACCCTGTGGGCTCCTCTTGTGAAGATGTTCCTTTTCTTGATGAAAATGGCTTGCGTTTCCTTGAAGAAGTAAAACAAACTAGATAATTAACTTAAACTTAAAGTCCCAGTCTCTTTTATAGAGTGTACACAGGAATCCCAAGACTTCTTCTCAGTCACTCACCATGATATCAGTGGATTTCTGCTCAGTAGCATTACTTTTAAGATCCTCAATCAGCCTAGAATAAAATGTTAAGAAATATTATTCTGTACGCAAGAAGTTAGGAATATTTCGACTTAATCTCGAACAGTAAATGTTTCCAAGAAACCTCTGAATTTCTAGTACCATGAACACTCAAGCAATTGCGTGACAACAATTTGCTGATACAACCCGTAGTCGATCAACGTAGTTCAAAGCGGGTGGGGCGGGAAAGTGGAATAAAGCACACAGCATCACAATTTTGATTGGGCCCCCTGTGTTCCAGAATCCGATCATAGTAAGGATGAGGGGTAAGCTATTGAGAGGTTTCATTTAATCAAACAGGGCTTTTCTGTTACCCGACATACAACAATATGAAACTTCTCAAACACTTTGAATTTTCTCCACAATTACACGTAGAAGAACAAACTTGAGGTTAGGCTTTCCAAGAGAGGTCAACTTAGAGCAAGTCGATCAAACTTGAGGTTGGTACCCCATCTCAGTTTTTGTGTACGTATAAAAAGATAATACATACGAGAAAAGTGTGCAGATAAACGCGGTATTTATAAACGGTAAACGTCAATAGATATTGATGGTTTGCAAGCATTTCCGAGAGAGTAAATAACGAGGGCATGGCGGCCATGTTGGCGGTATTGAAAACGAAAGCTAATGAGGAATCTTTTGCTAGATGACCTCCAACATGGCCACGATAACCTAATTGATGTAAAATGTTTAAGAAAATCTGCTTACATTTCCTTTCTTTCTTGTTTCTGGGCTTTTTCTGAAAGCAGCTCCTGAAACAGTAATTAAAATGATAGATTACCAAGCTGATAAAATATTCAATTATTAATTAGATAAGTATGTAGAAAAACCTAGTTTGAAGCCAGTAAAAATCGCAGTATAAAATCTCGGCTTTACTTACCTGACAATGCTTGACTTGCTCTTGCATCTCCTGAATTCTCTGATCTTTTCTATTAGGATTATCAAATCAAGTATCTTAGTGTCTTAGCACACATTTGTACATGTCGTATAATCTTATAGACTATGTACCTTATATTGTCTTCCTTCAGCCTTTGAATCTGGATTTTCAAAAGCTGGAATATAAATATTGATAATCATTTACCGGCGTTTGCATTGCTACGCGGCCACCCCAGACAAAAATCNTACAACAATATGAAACTTCTCAAACACTTTGAATTTTCTCCACAATTACACGTAGAAGAACAAACTTGAGGTTAGGCTTTCCAAGAGAGGTCAACTTAGAGCAAGTCGATCAAACTTGAGGTTGGTACCCCATCTCAGTTTTTGTGTACGTATAAAAAGATAATACATACGAGAAAAGTGTGCAGATAAAYGCGGTATTTATAAACGGTAAACGTCAATAGATATTGATGGTTTGCAAGCATTTCCGAGAGAGTAAATAACGAGGGCATGGCGGCCATGTTGGCGGTATTGAAAACGAAAGCTAATGAGGAATCTTTTGCTAGATGAYCTCCAACATGGCCACGATAACCTAATTGATGTAAAATGTTTAAGAAAATCTGCTTACATTTCCTTTCCTTCTTGTTTCTGGGCTTTTTCTGAAAGCAGCTCCTGAAACAGTAATTAAAATGATAGATTACCAAGCTGATAAAATATTCAATTATTAATTAGATAAGTATGTAGAAAAACCTAGTTTGAAGCCAGTAAAAATCGCAGTATAAAATCACAGCTTTATTTACCTGACAATGCTTGATTTGCTCTCGCATCTCCTGAATTCTCTGATCTTTTCTATTAGGATTATCAAATCAAGTATCTTAGTGTCTTAGCACACATTTGTACATGTCGTATAATCTTATAGACTATGTACCTTATATTGTCTTCCTTCAGCCTTTGAATCTGGATTTTCAAAAGCTGGAATATAAATATTGATAATCATTTACCGGCGTTTGCATTGCTACGCGGCCACCCCAGACAAAAATCTCGACGTGCACTTTGCAATAGACTGCCGTCAATCAAACAAGTTGACGTCATTTACACGCGCTTGGATTGGCCCGGATAGGCCCGGTGAGTGTGGCTCATAATACTTTTAAACAATCGACCGAAGTTTTGGCGCCTTTTGAATCACACACGCGTGTAAATGACGTCAACGTGTTTGATTGACGGCAGTCTATTGCAARTGCACGTCGCGATTTTTGTCTAGGGTGGCCGCGTAGCAATGCAAACGCCGGTAAAGTAAACATTTGTTGTTAATAACGATTTTTTAAAATAAGATGTGTGTAAATTCTGTGTAAGAGTTAAGCGGCTTAATATTCGAACTATWACTTAGTTTTAATTAAATGCCATTTTTGTTTTGTTCCTTCACCCGACCCCTCCCCCATGGTTATTATTATGATTATTAATTATCCCCTGCCTTTACCTCGTTTTCTTCATTCAAGGAATTCCGTTTCGAACTGGTATCGTCAACTTCCTTCAAGCAGGAAACAAGATACTTGGTGGGAGGAGAGATAGGGTGTTTGTCGATTATACTGTTGATTTCTTCCTCAAGAATCTGATTGGACACAATTTATTGAATGATTAAAATTAAAATTAATTTGAACGACATTCTTAATCAGAACTAAATCAATTCTGAAACTGAATATAGCACAACTACTGAAGTAACACACGAAAAAAATAGACTCCACGAGAGAATCTGAACGCTCAGCATTTATTAAGGTGGCTGACTACTTTGGGGAAAAATAAACAGAAAATTGAAACTTTTTTAACCTGAAATTTAATGCTGATTCCAAATATGAAAAGAAAAATGGGGTGTCCCGTGCTTGTTCTCATGATGTCATTTGTTTATCGTTTGAKATATTTGTTTATCGTTGTTTATTTAAACATAAGAAAATACTGTAGGTCCTGTGTACCTAAAGCAGTAGCAGTAGCAGTAGCAGTGGCAGTGGCAGTGGCAGTAGCAGCATTACCTAAACGCTCTACTTACTTTCTTAGTGTCAAGACACTCAAAAAGCTGGTTTTTTAGGAAAGCCACGGCCCTGAAAATAAACCAAACATAACCATATCACCATAAATCTTAAGCAAYTAAAGAAAAGAGCGAAAAACAAGCAATTATGGTATTTCATTTTGTTGGATGGTTGAAGATTAGATCCAAAACGCAATGCAATATGGTCATAGGAAAATGTGAAGGAATGATGGGCAGATTTAACCAAGTATTATCGGTAAAAAAATATGAAAAGGGCGTTAATACAGTACTGTAGTTCCCGTGAAAGAAATCCCAAAACAATAGTATTCTACCTTTCTGGGCTGATTCCATAAAAGGGGCATGATGTAACCGGAAAGGAAGTTTTTGGAAAGTAGACGATACAGAAAGAAAATGRGAAACCTATAAATATTTGAATTACTTACTCCAATGAGTTTCTCTTCATGAGAAAAATATGTTCCTCTAACTCCTGCAATCATTCAATTGATTAAATGGTCAGAAAAATATTGATAAGAAAAGGTAACAAACTTAAATAGGATTGGTAATGTTGAACAATTTCCACTTACTTTCACCCTGTGCTCCATTTCCACAAACGCCAAACCATCTATAAATGAAAACGCAAWCAGTCCCGAAAATAAATCATTTTAGCAACCTCTTTTTATTCAATACAAATAGGGAATTTTTCTATATGCTTTAGTATCTCAGTGAAAGTAATACCTTAACCATATTACTTAACTACACAATTTTTTAACAGTGAAGAAACTTCGAGAATGCTTTTTAAAGGCGAGCGAAAAACTATGAAAAGGGTTATAAAAAACGATCAAAAGACGCTAAAGCAAATTCAAAAATAAATCGCCCATTCTTAAAGTCAGTTTTTTGTTACCTGTCATGGTTGAGTCCATAATTATTGATGTAATTTCTTTAATTCACAATTGATACGAGTAGCATAAACAAGCGCAAAAGTTCAAATGTTGAATATATGACAAGGGATTGACATCCTTTATGACGTCAATCAAAGCGCGCGCTAGTTGTTTGGGAAGCCGCTGGTTAAYAGTGTTGCGCGCGCTACATATTAGACAGGCAACCCAAAGTTAACAGTTCTTTATTTAGTTAAATTGCAAGAATTCTCACGTAAGCCTCACATAAGCAGAAAATWAAATAAATGAATGAATRAATCATCATGTAAGGAAATGAATAATGAATGTATAAAAGAATTAATGAATTAAGGTGGCTGACTAATTTTGAACGTTGAATTCGAGCCTACGATGTGCGCGTGCTCAAAAACCGCTGATTAATCTTCACGATTTCATTGAAAAACCATAAACTTCAAGAGGTCAAAGACCTCAAATTTTGCACGGGACTCTATACTTTTTCTGAGCTTATTAGAAAAAAACTCTTAAAAATTTAGGTAATATATATTAATTTTTTAAGAAAAAATTGATTTTTCTAACACATGAAAAAATAAATTTTTGTCGGGACTTTAGTTTGACTTTATCAGAGAGCTTCTGAGAGCAATGAAAGGACAAAATATGACAAATCGATGTGTTTCTTTGTCGTTTTGTCAAAAAATTCCACGTATTATTGTAGAATAGTACTATATCCTCACTGAATACCATTGTCACGTCGCAGTAATTAAGTTATGGGGCAAGATCCGCTCCTCTACTTCTTCTCCAGTAAGGAAGAAAGGTCCCTGGCCATAGACCCCTCAATTGATCATTCCAACACTCAAACCTCGTCACTCAACAACTGTCCTTTATTGCCGAAACAGGCCTAATTGTGCCGGTGAATCCTTACTAATCCATCACTCAACACTCGGAAATTATCTGGTTCTCGAAAACGCAACGTTTTCATATCGGCTAAGCCGGGGCTGGCTACGATCAACTCCGTGGGGACCAAGGGGCCAACGAAAGGCTGGGGTTCCCCAAACACATTACAGTATTTTCTTTCAAAGGTTTCTGTGGTCTGAAGAAGGCGGGAGAGGAGAGACTCAAATACGCTCTGAAAAAGGAGAAAACGAAGCGCGTTTTAAAACTGGGTATGAGGACCCCCCAGCCCCTCGTTGACCCCAGGCTCCGATCGTAAGACCAGAATTGAGGCACTGAGAAGGCCCCCCTAGAGTCAACCAGGAGCGAGAATAAAGCGCGAGAACCTAGAGATCCAACCGTCGCTATATAAAGTCCTAAACAAAGATCAACGTGTTGCGATCGATTCTATTAATAAGCGACCCTCCAAAACAAAGACGAAATTTAAAAGGAATCGGACAAAGAAAGGTGTGAGATAACAGGCCCGCAATTAAGTGTATTGTGAAAATATGCGCCAAAACGTGGAAAGGCATTTGCATTTTATACACCGCGTAGACTACCGAAATTAGTATATACCATACTATATTGGTCAGACATAGAAAGTGAATACGAGATAGAAACGGCACAATAAAGTTGCAATCAAAGGSAACCCTAAAGCGCTTAAAATCAACTATAGAAATGGGAGTATCGCCTATCGAGAACGTAAATGAAATTTTAAAACTTTGGAGAATTAGACCACGTATGYGCCCGGGTTCATATTCATTACCTTCTTTACTCGGCTTCCCGAGCCACGTYATTAATTCGTATCYAACTCTCAGAGTTWACGTCTTTTCTCKCGTATAAACTCGGCTCCCTGAGCCACGCTACTTCGGTTTTGCTCAAGTTCGTTCTAACTGTATAAGCTAACTAGCCCAACCCCGGCTGCAGCGGCAAGAGTTGCAAAACTACACGTGAACCCGACGTTCTAAAAGACTGATAGAATGAAATTAAAGACTATACCTCTCCTGGCGGGTTTTGACCATCACCTTCGTTGTGCGCGGCGGGAATTTGACCAGGAATTGGATCAGGAATTGGACCAGGAACATGGCCAGGAACTTGCACAGGGGCTTGACCAGCTGGGCCGACGGGTGCTGGAGGGTCTAAGGCTGGTGGTAAATCATCTCGGGCGGCCATAACTGTCTCGCAAGCTGGTGACGGTGGCGAAATAATTCCGAACTTGCCCTTCCGATGTCTTGCGAGGTAATGCGACGAAGCACGTGTTTCGGGTTAATTTATACTGCTCCGTGCTAATTTATTCAGTGAGAATAGTCACATTTACCCGAGAGGTGTTTTACATAACAGGAACAAGGAAATAACATTGGGCCTTCATTGACGTTCAAATTAACAGTTCGACTATACTACGATTCTAAACTTCTGCTGGTTGACAGGCAAAACCAGAAGTTATGGAAATGTTCAGTGGGCCAGAAAAGAAACGTTTATTTCCATCCAATATTTGGTTTCATCTAGTAAGACCCCTTACACGTTCGTAAACAAACCCTAATGATGATTGATGATGGTAAGTTTATCACATACGAGTAAATTGAAAAAAACATTGATATATATAATTCTTCTAAAAATAAAAATGCTGTTGAAAATACAAGAGAAAATCAACCATAATGTCAAGGCGTTTCATTGTAGCCCTTTGTCACTTGGTCGACAGGCCCTGACTAAACGCGAGAAAACATGTTTCCTTAAATGATTCCAAAGATGACAAACCTGTCAGGAAACATCGGGAAACACGTTTACTCAACATCAGTTATCGATGCGCACTTTCAATAATAATAATAATAATATATATGTATGTAATTAATGACCAAAAGATTTATTGAAAAAAATCGGAATTTATAATTCCTTTATTTTCTAGATAAATGCTAAAATAGCGAACGTTCAGCTAAGTTACGAACGTTTAGAATATTGATTTTCGTGGCTAAATGAGGAACTGTCGGAAAACATTGTTTCCATGCGTCTGGAAGCATGAGTTGTTTCTGACGAACAGCATGTTTCCTCGTTTAGCCAGGGCCCAAAATTAACTTGAACCTATTCTCACTGCATACATAATTAGCGTGCCAAGTAGGAATTTAGCAGCCCCCCATATATGGACATTGGAGTTTGCACAGTGTAGGTGTAATGCAAACTGCACCGACATTTGTCTCAATCAGCGCGTAGCAATGAAAACAGTGGCAAGGAAATGTTGTACAGTAATTTCTCAATTGGTGCCTGTCAATTCATTGAGGGAGCTTGAGGCGGTAGTTAGTGCGGCTAAGACTTCATCCATGGATGGGCGTTGTGTGGGGTCCTGTT